GTGAGTTTTATTGGCAAGCGAAAACTGATTTCGCTGTTATTTTATCTGGAAATTACTCATTTTTTTAGGTCAATATTCAAAATATTTTACGGGAACAAGTTGGCACTTTTCTTGATTTTTGCACTCAAATCGCGTGCGATTCAACTGTATTGGAACTTGCAAAGAAGCTTGGTGATTAATTAACTGTGTTGTTATGGCACTGTTTGCAAAGCATGGATAATGAAACTGTGCCAAAGACTTAGCTACATAGCAATGCCTCAAGTAATACGCAGGAGGGACAGAATTCAGAGTCCGATCGAGAAGAATCGGTGCAAATGCTACGAAGACCAGGCAGCTCTGATACAATAGCTAGTCGTCTGACTACTCTCACTCCATTAGACCAGCTGATTCCTGACAGCACCGACTCGGATGCAAAGATGGAGCTCATCTTCCAAGCCAGAAACCAGTTCTTTGATGGAAGATGTGATGCTGCCTCTGTCTCTGCTTTGTTGGCCACTTTGGACGGGGCGGAGCTCCGCTCCTTGCGTGAGCGGTTATTCGCCTGTCATCCAGAAATAGTTCCTTCGTTTGCTGGCCGTTCCCTGATTAGGTGCAATACGGGGAGCTGTAATCAGGGAAGTAACTTTCCATATGAAAGGGGTGCAGGTGCACCCCCGTCCCCCATCCACTAGAAGTGCACCCCCATAGGCTAAGCGGCGCCCCACACGCCGCCCCACACGATTAGCTCTAGAGCAGATGGCGAGGGTGATTTCCCGGCTACTTTCCATCTCGGCGTCGTGATGCTTGTGGGCTTGGAAAGCGTCCAGTCGTATGTAGGGTAGTGTAGGGGTAGGGTTGAGTTCAATAAGGTCCTTACATTTGAAAGGTTTGAACAACCCGCAATCAGCACAACATACCACAAGTTAAATAAAAAACTACCAAACTCCGCCCAACTAATATTAATTAACATTACAGCCAAACTAATGGCCTAAATAAAAATATATCTCAAATCCTAACAGTTATCGCGGGTGATGGCGCCATGAGTTGCTATTATCCAAAACAGATGCAAATAAACATGTTTGTATGTCCTATGTATGTTTGTTTTAAAAACGTTGCAGCGGCGCTGGGAACTGCAGTCTTAGATCTGGGTATGTTTGGCATCTGCAACTCTTCATATACACATTAACCCTATTTCCTATTTCGGACGGGGAGGCCTTTCAGGATTTTCTTGTACAATTGCCAAACGCCGCGAGACATTCAGCTCATATTTGGTGACTTTTCCTAAATGCTCATTGCGCACATCTCAGCAAAAAAAAAAAAATGCCGGGTCAGGTCAGGTCAGGTAACCAGAGCGGGTTTGTTGACCCCACCTCAGAAAAGTTTGCAAACTCGTCAGAGCTTGAGTTTTTCACGAAGTTATTTCCTCTCATCAAGTCTTCAAAACAGTACCTGCAGTATGTGTCGTTTGTATATCTCAGAATTTTTGATCTGTGACCTGAGGTTAGGTCAGAGTCGTGACCTTTACATTGCAAGCCTATGGAAAAGTATTGAAATGCGACCTGCACCTCGAGTAAACGAGTCAAAACCACCCAATTCTTTAAGAATTATGACAAATTATCTTATCTGTAATGATCCAGGTGCCATTTACTGACAGGGACACCGGGGAGGGTTATCTGAGCCGAGATCATGTGAGGTGATATCTACCATACATCAATGCTCACAATACTTACAATATTGACAATGCTTTTGCTTACAACACTTACAATACTTACGATGAGACCAGCAAGCACTCTGCCGTTACAGTTCTAACTTCTGTTTCGAAAACCGACGTTACACACATTCGCTGCCAGCATAACATGTATTGTTTGACAGTAACAAAATACAATTGACATCTGAACCCCAAACGGACCGCCATCCACTCAAATTTTATAACCCTGACCGGTCAGTGGGCGAATGGAGGTCATCTCCTGGGCATTACACTCCAGGTTACACTCAGCCCTTGCACAAAATATCTCACCTCACAGTGATCATTACAACAATAGCACCGACTTGATAGTGGATTTCAAAGTACTTGCATCAGCTCTTCCTGCTATGCAGACGATCATCTCCTCAGGGTAATGTTGTTCGGGATATGAACGAAGATCGTTTTCGGAGTTTCATAAGTGCTACTGCAACAGCCTGGCACAAAACAGGACTTGTACGCTCTTCTCTGCACTTTGCCCTTCAGTATATCACAAAAGAATTGTTTAGAATCCATCTTACGCTTCTTTCACAGTCTCCCTTGCCACCGTAGGGCGTAGATAGATTGCTGTTGCTGGTAACTTAAGGCACGGTAGATAGAAATTACCTCGGTTCTCAACGCCTTAAGTTATTTTCATAAAAAAGAACAAATAAATGATCAATAAGATGACAGGAATGTAAACATTTTAATCGTAAAGTAGTCCAAATATTGGAATGAGCTTTTGCTTTTCAGCATCCTCCGATTCATCATCTTTATCATTTGAAAATTCGAGGTACATAAAATGTTTATCACGCGCTCAATGTTAAGTGGGAATATAGTACACGGCAGACACATCAATTTTTGACACTGAACATTTCATCCGTAAATGTTTTAGCATAATTTAAAGTTAAAAACAGCGCGAATGGCAGAGTGAAACAAACAACATCTTTCACCCATTGATATAACATGTAATCTGTGGTGCGCCAGATGCGCCATTATTTGTCAACCGCAGAATGTGACATGTGACGTAACAGCATCAAGAGCATCTTTTTTCAAGAACTTTTCAAAACAAGTTTCCTATCTTTCTTCCCCCATTTCTCTCAGCATATTGATTTTATGAGGCAATGGTATGCACCATAAATTCTGTGAAAATAGTTTGATCATTTTCATGCATTCTTAAAAAATCGAGTTCCCAACCCCATTGAGACTAGACCTGCTCGCGTGTGAGAATCGTTAGCGTCTCACGATCAAAAGCACCTTATGACGTCTGCTCTCGGGGCGTGCCAGTAACTACTGCTATCGTGACACGAACAGGATCATGGCCCATAAAGAGGCATCATGGCCTTGGCGTCACTCGCAGGGTTAGCGATTGTTCCGAGGGTTACGACAGTGGGGGATAGTTTCGTCGGTTAACGATTCATTCCGGGCAGGAGAGTCTCAACTGGGATACTTCTGCCGGGGTTAACGTGCTCTCAATCACTTGACTGTGTGGGGGAGAGGGGGTCGGGGTTGGGGTCAGATCGATGGGGCCATGAGGAGAGCCTCTTCCCGTGGCAATACGCGTTTCCATAGTTTCGCAGTATGAAATGGAAGACTGATAAGTTCAGAGTGAGAGGCCCATCGAAAATGTGGACATCTGTTGCCGATTTCTGTAGGTTTTCTTTGGGCTCCCGGGCAAAGTTGTATACAATTATTATGCAGCTTCCGTATTGGACCACTGCTGAGTGTTGAAGGCCAGCCCGTTCAGACCATCATCATTCTAATCCAGGATCTACTTGTGTTCATTCGCCGATGCACCGTGGTACGTCACTTAGTTTGCATAGGGAATTATCCGTGCTGCGTGCGTCGCTAATCTCGCATACCGCATGTGTGACCGTTTGACTCCACACGATCATGCAGTTATGCCGCTCCCACCCCCTAGTTCCCCGGGGCGGTGCGGTCTGCGTACCGTGGCTGGTGCTAGAGGCTGGTGCTGGGCAATGCCGAGTATAGGGTCGTTGCAGCTGGTACAATAAGCAGACATTGTGCTTATTGCTGAGTATAAGGTGTAGGCGGATGACAATGATTGATTTATATTACGTATGTTTAATGCGTTGGAGATTGTTCGATACACTAATGGGCTATCCGGGCGGTATGTGGGTGATGTATGGCCCATCCGGCGGGAGGCTGGTAGGGGATCTGCATCCTTTCTGTGACGAATGGCCGGCTCTCGTTACGGCCGACCCATCGCTCTCTGTCGCCGGCCGCGGTGGCGTGACGTCACTGGACCGCATTGATGACCTCACTGGTCACCGCGAGCCGTGTCCAATCTGGCAGGCACGCTTCAATCGGCGGACAGTAAAGTTGGTCTGGTGACTGAAATGGGTCAATCTGTCGGCTGGTCAGTGGTCACCGTCCACGCAACAAGCTGTGCTGTTCTATGGCCAATACTCTATCCCAATCTAATAAATAGCGATGAACTTAGACCAAATCTAAGCTGAATTATTGGCGATGATTATGTTCTTGATGGCATTGTAAATTATGATACCAGTGGTTTATTTTGAAAGATTGATTCCATTTTCTTACGGTTTGTCGCGAATTACTTTGACATTTCCGATGATACGAACGAGTACGTTACGTCAGATCGTTTAAATCGATGTGTTAAAACGAGCGAATCGAAACGTATTTACCGGATCACTTCATAATGTATTCACACTCGCCAAATTCTATCGACCTCATTTTCGAAACTATCATTTTTACGCACATTCGTTGACCTCGGCACGTGACCTATAACAAATTCTGGCATAGGCTCGTGCGCCCATTTTCGGGGAGCCACAGAGTCGGCGACATCCTCCCCCCTCACTGCGGAAACGGTCGTTAACTACACGCGCGCCGGCTACAAAATACAAAACATAGCACTAATCGCATGAGCGCATTCTACTAACACTGCGTTCGAACGTTGACCTTTGGACATCCTATTCCTCATCCGAGGCATCCAATACGCACAGTTTGACTACCGGTCGCACGTATGTGCCGCTCTTAGTCTTCAGCTCCACCGTTCTAACGCGACCGTCGGAACCGGGGAAGACCTTCACCACTCGTGCTAGCGGCCATCTTCCACGCGGCAAGTTGTTGTCGGTGACTAGCACAACGTCGCCCACCTGAACTCGTCGGCTCTCTCGCGACCATTTGGTCCTCTTCATCAGGGTTGGCAGATACTCTTTGTGCCAGCATTTCCAAAAGTGCTCTGTGTGGGCCGGCCATTTCGGCCGCCCTCGTCGGAGCCGGGGTCCGCGGATGGTGTTGGCGTCACAGTCGGTAGAGGAGAAGTGAGCGCGTGTATTTCCGAAGAACATGGTTTTATGGTGGGTGTCGGGACGCAAGCACGTGACCGGACGGGCAGCCGGCCAGCGAGCCGGCGGTCCCGTGTCGCTATGCGCCCCAGACACCCAGACAAATACAAAAAAAGGGGGTCCGACATTTGGGGCCTCCATCGGGAGTGGGAGGCATGATTTCCTTCTCCACATATCTTTCCTCCCCCAACAAGCCGACAAAAGGAGGCGACCAATAAGCAATCACGATCCTAACTGCATAGATCCACGTATGACACCGCGCATGGAACGCCAGGTACGACTGCTGCTGCTGCAGGTACGGCTGCTGCGCAGTCGGTGATGGCGTCCGCAGTTGCAGTGTGTGATTCGTGGACCAGATGCAGAGCGACTGAGACAGCCAGACGGGTCGGCGATGAGCGTCCGATCCCATCATGACTATGATCATCCAGCTTTTGCAGACCGTGATGCGTATCGGCGTTTCTCCGTAGTCGATGCTCGGGGAGTCAGATAGTGGCCACTCCCAGATGGGTAACAGAAACTCAAGGACTGTAATAGAAAAAGAACCGAATTAAAATGTGCCGAAACAATGCCCCAACATATACATCATACAAAACAGTCATTCATATTTACAGCTGTACAGTACAACATTTGTACAAAAGGCACGTAGCACTGGGCGACACAAGTGTCGTAATGCTTCCCCAGGCGTGCCACGGAACCCATGGACTTTCAAAGGCCAAAACATTCGGGTCCGTAGGACATTCGAATTTGTTTCCGTGTCCAAGTATTCAAACATGCATCCACATACACTTTTTGTTATAATGTTGTGCTATCGCTGTGCCGGTCAGTGATACATTTTCCCTGGTGTGTGATAACAATTGGGTGATAAAACGGCAGTATGAACTTTGTGAAGGCTGAACATTCATTGGAAGACATCATGGTATAAATGACACGGAAGACATGTTTTTGACACAGCGGATAGCAAAACATTGAATGATTGTTAAAAACGGGCAGTACCGCCGGTCAGTCGATCGAGAGATCGTTTACGTCGCAAAGTGAGTAGTAAGGAGAAAAAAAATTGGGCTAATGAGCCAATGACTAGCAAAAGACCGGTTTTAATAGTACTGCCAAGTGAATTACTTTAACGAATAAATTGAAGAGGCCAATGTTTTTAGTGGGTTAAAGTGTTATTGGAATATCTAACTATTGTGTTAGAACTTACTTAGTTGTTTAATAAAAAATATACGGTTGAAAAAATGAAGTCCTTTTAAAGAGTGGCGTCTTCTGAACGAGTGCATCTGTGTATTACGTCATACCCGTGAAATCGTTTGGGAAGGCATGCATACAGCAATACTTCTAATGTAGTTATATCGCTGGTAAATTGTTGAATTTACAAACTTTCTGTGGACAATTTTTATTGCCACTTATCACTTTCGCTGGTGTAAATTGTTCAGAATGGCCAAAAGTTATTGGTCAATGTTATAGAAGTCATTTTTTTTTTTTACCAGATGACTAAAATTAAAGCTAATCAGTAGTTAGTTCGATAAAGTATACTGTTAATTAATTGGGAATATCGAGAAGCATGCATGTCCTTTGGGTATTATTTGACGCTGCACTCGTTCCGCCACAAGAAGCACGAACCTGAAAAAAGAAACAGGGCTAATGTGTCAGTATCAAGACATTTTTGACATTGCAACATATGTAAAGAAATGAAAGATGGCAACAGCAAGCGACAACATAGGTTTTGGCAATCATACAAATGAGAATCATTCACCTCTCATACTAGCATATATATCGTGGATGCTTTATTTACAATGAATTGAGCTCAATGAAATTGCAATTGCTCACTTCTCCTCTACCGACTGTGACGCCAACACCATCCGCGGACCCCGGCTCCGACGAGGGCGGCCGAAATGGCCGGCCCACAATTAAATTTCAAACATCACAAATAGCAAATAAAATTAATTTAAAGAGAACTCACCTGAAGCCAAAAATCCTCCACCGACAACCAACCACCACCGCTGGCACCAATTGTGGGCCGGCCATTTCGGCCGCCCTCGTCGGAGCCGGGGTCCGCGGATGGTGTTGGCGTCACAGTCGGTAGAGGAGAAGTGAGCGCGTGTATTTCCGAAGAACATGGTTTTATGGTGGGTGTCGGGACGCAAGCACGTGACCGGACGGGCAGCCGGCCAGCGAGCCGGCGGTCCCGTGTCGCTATGCGCCCCAGACACCCAGACAAATACAAAAAAGGGGGTCCGACATTTGGGGCCTCCATCGGGAGTGGGAGGCATGATTTCCTTCTCCACATCTGCAAGCTGCTGAGCATGACGCCATCGTCTCCGGAAACTCAGTTGTTCCCCAGAAAACATGCCTGGAGCGAGACTGGGAGAGTCGCGACCGAGAATCAAATGGTTCGGAGTCAAGGCCTCTGGATCATCTGCATCGGTGCTCACATACGTGAGCGGCCGACTGTTCAACATGAACTCGACCTCCATGAGAACAGTGCTGAGAACTTCATCTGTGACGAGCTGGTTGCCCAGGACGACGCGTAGTGCTCTTTTCACTGAAGACACCAGTCTCTCCCAGCATCCACCCATGTGAGGACTGCCAGGCGGGTTGAAGCTCCACTTGATGTTCTTCTGTGCCATCGTGTTGCTTATTTGTTCGTTGTTCCAGTTTCTGAGAGCATCACGAAGCTCCTTATCGGCTCTCTTGAAACTTTTCCAGTTGTCACTGAATATCTGAGCTGGTTTCCCGCGCCGAGCGATAAAACGGCGGAGTGCTAGCAGGAAACTATCAGTGTCGAGAGACGGGATGGTCTCCAAATGTAGCGCTCTTGACGCCAGACAGGTGATAAGCAAGACGTACCGACGCTCCGTCCTGCGGCCTACACGCACTTGGAGAGGACCGAAAAAATCCAGCCCGACTGAGCTGAAAGCGTGCTGAGAATCAAATCTCGCTTCAGGCAGGTCCCCCATCAGAGGGGCCTGGGGGCGGCTGTGCAGTTTCTTGCAAACGGCGCATCCTCGTAGGTATGACTTGATGGTGCTCCTCGCCTTCGGAATCCAGTACACCTGCCGAAGCTCATTCAGCGTGTGGTCGACTCCCGAGTGAAGCACTTGACGGTGAACTGAAGTCACTATGAGCCGAGTAACCTCGTGTCGTCTTGGTAGGAGAGCCGGGTGCTTGGCTGAGAATGGAAGTTGACTTGCTTGCAGCCGTCCTCCAACTCGAATGACTCCGCTTGAATCCAGCAGCGGCGTAAGCTGAAGCAGAGTGCTACTGACAGACACCGACTTCCCACGAGAGAGCAGGTCGATTTCCGACTTGAATGCGTCCTGCTGAGTTGCTTTGAGGATGTGGATTTCAGCGAGTCGCAGCTCCTCTGCAGACAGTGGTCCGTTGTTGCCACAGTCTCGATACTGAGCTGAGTGTCTGGCGATGAAGTTGCAGGCGAAGCGCAATACCCAGGCGGTAACACGCCTATAGCGGGTCCACGACGAGTGGCGAGCCGGGTCGACCAGCAGTGTCGGAACTGACTGTCCAACGGTCACGGAGCCCACCGTTTTGACTTCAGGATCGCTAGCACTTGGTTGGGCCGTTTTGGGAGCAGAAGGCCATTCAATTTCCGGTCTGTAGAGAAAGTTTGGACCCCGGAACCACCGGCTGTCAGAGTCGATCTCGGAAAGCGGCTGGCCTCTGGAGCATTCGTCCGCTGGGTTCAGGGAACCAGGGACATGCCTCCACTGATATGGTTCCGATCGGCTTCTGATCTCGGCTACTCTGTTTGCGACGAAGGTCTGGAACCGTCGAGCCTCATTGTTGATATAGCCGAGAACTACTTCACTGTCGGTCCAGTAGAACGTCTGGTTCACTTGAATCGTGAGGGCCGACTGTATGCTGTCATGCAGTCGTGTGGCCAAAACCGCGCCCTGCAGCTCTAACCGCACAATGGTCAGCATTTTCAGCGGTGCCACTCTTGTCCGACTCATCACCAGCGAGCAGGCGATTGTGCCGGTCGAGTCGATCTGCCTGAGGTAGCCGACGGCACCGAATGCCGCTTCCGACGCGTCGCTGAAGATATGGAGCTCTCTTCGAACGACTTCACTCTCCGGCGTAGCAAAACAGCGGGGGATCCTCAGTCGGGAGAGCTGCTCAGCTTCCATCTTCCATGCCGTCCATCGATGTGTATCGTTTTCATTCAGCTTAGAGTCCCATGACAGCTGCTGTTTCCAGAGATCTTGCATGAGAAGTTTCGCTCGAAGGGTGAACGGTGCGACCAGGCCGAGTGGGTCAAAGATCGATGCCGTGGTGGCTAGAACTCCGCGTTTGGTAGGCGGGGCAGTGCGTTTTTCTGGTCGATGAACACCGATCATGTCTGTCTCTGGATCCCAGGCTATACCAAGGACACGCTCGGACGGCAGCGGTATGGACATATCTGTTTTGGCATGAGCCCTGTCTTCAGGTGCTACTGACTCCATCACCTCTCGTGAATTGCTGACCCACTTCCGAAGCTTGAATCCACCTTCAGCGACCAGTTTGACGACAGTATGGAGCATCACTTTAGCCGTCTCCACGGAGTTCTCTGATGTAACGAAATCGTCCATATAGAACTGTCTTGCCACTGCAGCGGCCTCATCACGAGAGAGCGTAAGCTCAGAGCCGTTCTTGATGACTAGTTGCAGTGCAAAACTGGCGATTGCTGGTGAGCATTTGGCTCCGAATATCGCTTTGTTCATTTCATACGTGTCAGGAGGTCTGTTCCGCTCCATGTCCCTCCACAAGAAGCTGAGGGCTGGTCGGTCACGCTGTAGAATTTGCACCTGGTGGAACATCTGGTCGATGTCTCCAGCGATTGCGACTGGCCGCTCACGAAACCGAATGAGCAGCCCAGGTAGGTCCTGCAGGAGATCGGGTCCAGTCAACAGGTGATCGTTCAGGGACGTGCCACTGAACTTGGCGGCCGCGTCGAATACGACCCGTATTTTGTCCGGCTTGTTTGGATTGCGAACCGCATGATGTGGCAGGTACCAGCGTTTTGAGCTCGGTTTCAACACTTCCGATTCTTCGAGCTTTCGGGCGTGACCGAGTTGCACGTAGCTTTCGATAGTTTCTTGGTATTTCTTTCTTGTCTCTGGACTTCTATGGAGAGATTTCTCGCTTCGCTCGAGTCGACGGAGCGCACCGAGACGGTTATCCGGCAGCGAGACGTCATCGTCTTTCCACAGCAGTGGGGCTTCAAGACGCCCGTCCACCAGCTCGACCGTTTCTTCAAGGATTTTTAGAGCTCTTTGGTCTTCATACGATGTAGGCTTCACCTTGGAGTGTGTTGTTCCAAAAGTCTCCATGTCCCACCACTTCTGAACCAGGTTGGTCAGATCGAGGTCCTGTGCTGGGCTCCGATGAACATGCATCACGTGATGTTCTGACGATGGAACGAGGTTTGTTATCGTTCCGGTCAAAGCCCATCCAAAGTGCGTCTTTATGGCCACAGGCTGGCCAGGCTCTCCGATTCGAACCTCGCGCTGGATGATTCCTTCGATAATGTTTGCTCCAAGAAGGACCTCCACCTGCTCTGGCCTCGGAAGCGCGACGTCAAGCCCCTCCACATGACGCCACTGCGAACGTGCTGAGCTGCTGATGTATGGCACGGGAATATTCAGCCTCGGTACTGTCCACACTTCATTTGCCATGACTTCTGTTTCTTCCGATTCCCGAGCCAGGGGGGTGATTTTCATGGACGTTCTCAGAGCGATTCTCTGTGGCCCGGCTCCTTCGATACTGTTAAGACGGAGCGACTCCGATTCACCCGTCAGTTTGAGCTTTTTCGCCAGATTTTCCGTGCACAGCGAGGTCTGTGCACCGGAATCGAGAGCGGCGAATGTGTCGATGTAGCTGTGTTCGCCATGTACACGCACAGGTACTATTTGTAGCAGTGTCGTCCCTCCGAGACCTGAGGCTGCTGCCACTGTTCTGTTTGAACGTTCCTCAGTGCCGGCTGCACGAGAGAAGATTCTTTCGCTGCCGTGGAGCAGGTGATGGTGCCTTCCCTGGCACCTGTTCTCTCCGCATTTTTGCGTGGATCGGCACTGCCGAGACCGATGATCGGGCTGAAGACAGAGGAAGCAGCGCCCGCTTTCAGCGACAAACTTAGCGCGGTCATTTGGCGATTTTTGCAGGAAGGACGGACAAACGGCGAGATCGTGTCGCTCCCCACAGCAGCAGGGCTGCTCGTTGTGACTGACTTGCTGTCGACGTGTTGCGCTCTTGTCGCTGACCTCAGGAGTCGTCGTTACAGCAACCGATGTCGAGTGAGTGCGGGGCGCGCGCCTGAAGTCAGAACTGGGGCGTGCCATGTTGCGATCTTGCGGCTGAGCAGGAACGGCCATTGCGATTCGAACTTGTAGTCCCAGCCAGCTATCAAAGTGTGTCATGTTTGGGCGCTCCGGCTCCATTTTGATGACCTCACGTCCCCACTCTCTTTTCAAGTCATTCGGAAGTTTGAAAATGATGCGACGTAGGTTCTCAGTACTGTTAAGGTCTCCGTGGAAACCCATGGCGTTCAGCACTGTGACCGCGGAGTGAACGGCGGCGTGTAGCTTTTCCAGCATGACCGGGTCCACATTTTTCATTGGAGACGTGTTGAAGACGGCACTGAGGCTTGCGCTCACGATATCGTCTTCTCTCCCGAATCGTTTCATCAGAGCTTGTAGAGCGGAAGGATACAGCGCTGCATCGAACATCATTCCTTCGACAGCCTGCTTAGCTAGACCAGTTACGGATGCCTGGAGATGGGCGAGTTTTTCAGCGTCCGATAGGCCTGGCTGGTCGTGGATGAGCGATTTAAAAAGGCCAATCCACTGGGGCCACTCAGTGGCCTTACCGCTAAACTTTGGGAGCTGAATCTGCGGGACACTCCGATAGCCCGAGTGACCATTTCTCGGCGGTTCTGTGTCTTGTGGCCTGTTCGCAGCTTCCAATATCCATGATGTAGCTGTCTGACCCCGAGTCAGCTCCGGCGCCGGCCGATTACCAGTTTCCGTTTGAGACTTATCAGCCACAGGGGTGTCAGCTTCGATTGCAAGTCCTTCTTCTGCTGTTCCAACTCGTTCTTGTTCTTGAGAAGGTCCAGCGAGTTCGTTTTCGCCGTCAAAATCGTGCCGCCGTTCCCACTGAAGTTCATTTTCTGCTGCCTTACGCAGCTCCGCTTCTCTTGCTGCGAGATGTGCAGCATCTCTGGCTTCGGCGATTCGTGCCTCTCGATCTATCTCTCGTCTCTGCCTCTCTAAGTTCTCTTTCAGCTCGTCTCTTTTTCTTTCTTCTTCTATCCGTAGTTCGAGCTGACTGAGCTCCATTCGTTTCAGGGATGCTCCGATTTCGGCTTCCTTTGCGGCCGCAGATCGACTTGACCGACTGGAGACAGCAGACTGTGACTTCGAAGTTGTTTTGCTTGTTCCTGACTCTGACGACGCTAATTCCCCACGGGATCTGAAGTGTTCACGAATGCGTTCACAAATCTTCTGATGTGCTTCTTCGACGTCTGTCATGTATTCTTCGGTCTGATCCTTTTCACGGTCGTCATCTTTCAGGCTGTCCGTGTAGCTGTCATTCACTTCACTTACAGCGTCTAGAGCCTCATCAAGCTCTTTAAGTAAGCCTTCGATTTGGCTTCGGCTTCCCGATGTGTCGACCAAAGTATCAGCCCGTTTACACAGTCTTGTAAACTGAGCCTTCTTTCGACTTCTCAGTTTTCTTAACGAAGCACTATCCATTGTCGGAAAGACAATTACAAAAACAGACTGTGCAAAAGGCTTACGTTACAGCTCGAGAAGGGCATGCCTCATGCTCATTACGTTAAACGTCAGAGACATGCAAAATCGAGCGCAAGTATTTCACGATATCGAACGTTAAGCGATCCGGCCCGGAGGACCAAAAAATGTCGCGAATTACTTTGACATTTCCGATGATACGAACGAGTACGTTACGTTAGATCGTTTAAATCGATGTGTTAAAACGAGCGAATCGAAACGTATTTACCGGATCACTTCATAATGTATTCACACTCGCCAAATTCTATCGACCTCATTTTCGAAACTATCATTTTTACGCACATTCGTTGACCTCGGCACGTGACCTATAACAAATTCTGGCATAGGCTCGTGCGCCCATTTTCGGGGAGCCACAGAGTCGGCGACACGGTTATTGGCTATAAATGAATGTAGTCGATTCATCTTTGTAATATAATCCGTTTCTCACGATTTCCATGGCCCAATTAACCCCAAATAAAGCCCCAATTAACAAACAAACAAACACGATTTCCATGGCGGCATTTACCGCAACTCCGAAGCTTCAAACCTTTCAGAGAACACACATTGGGTGAGGTTTGTCAATGTGTAGCTTATCAGGGCCTGTGTTGGGGCTCTTCAATTAATGACGTTATTTGCATTGTGGTCATTGATGTCTATTCCATAATTCGATGCTGCAATTCTTTGGATATGATTATAAAGACAGATGTTTATAATTGGAATACAATGGGCTGGCGCGGGAAGTTATTTGTTTGTGCTTGCTCAGCACCTTCACTTAAATTCAGGTCGCTGTAAATCAGCTGCCATTCGTAGGCTGGACAAGCGCGCCGGTACCACCCAGTTTTCATTTACTGGATCTCCTTCCGAGCACATCTCTTCCCAAGACTCGGTCCGCTGGGGATCCGACCCGCACTCGACGCGCGTCACCCGCCAACAATCGATTCCCTATAACGAGCCTTATAAATCCGGCGAGCTGCAGAGACGGCAATCACATTTGCATTTTATGCTAGGAATGAATCTACTTAACGGGCGAAAAGTCTACTCAGCGTTTCAAGTAGGTTGATGTATATGACACCTAAATCTTTTGTGGGATGCGTTTCCAGCGTCAAAATATGCATAAGTCACACCAATCTTCCCGACATAAACACTTGGTTATATACAAAACCTCTTATTGATAAAATATACCGACAGTTATAGTGTCGGGCTGTCACTATTGTTTGTTTCACTGCAGCGCTCTTTGGAATGCTAAAACGTTTGAAACATTATTGCTGCTCCCCCATCGCTGAATTACATGAGTACGAATATGAATGCCCTGGTCGTGGCTCGAATTCCCTGCTGCCTGAGTGCAGCACTTGCCACTTTTGTTGAAGCTGCTGTGTATTCGGCATTGTTAAGTGCCAATGCCGTCGGTCTGTGGTGCTTTCTAAAATGTGTTGTTCATGTGTGCCGTCCGTGGTCCTCTGAACTTGGCTGGCCGGCGACATCAGTTGGGGAAACTACGAGGAGCCAATCAAAAATTGGATTAGCCAATCAGCGACTGGAGTGGGCGGGGCGATGACCATATATGGTCATAAAATCAGACAACTTCATCTTTTCAATGAATTTTAGCATTCAAATGAAAAAATAAGGCATAAGAATGTTTTTAACCACACAAGGCCTACACTCACCCGGTGCATAATTAACTGGCGGCTCTAAATCGCAGAGTTACAACGCAAGGTCAAACCGTGATTGGCAAATATGGCGGATTGAAACAGACGCGCCAAAAAATGTAAGCAGTACCGTGATTTAAAAATGTCATTATTTTTATTATTTTGTTTATGGTTTTTCTAATTCTGGTTAAGTTATTATTTTAAAATTAAATATATTTGTTTATTGTAATTAAATTAAATCTTTAAACAATTTTCTTTCATAAAACCAATCCATTTTTTGAATGGCCAGCTGATTGTGACGCCCAGAACCTGCAGAAAAGCCGTTTTCCTTTCGCCATTTTCGAGTCAATTCGCCGAATTTAATCAAATCACGCTAATTCCTAGTGAAAAATGGAAGCCTTTTCTCTCCAATAAGTGGACGCGATACCGCAAGTACCGGCTTGTTATACCGTTTTTACCCTTACTAGCGGGGGCTGCATTTATGTCCATATATGGTCATCAAAAGTCCATTTATTGACCAATTAATTTTTTGACATTCGCCTCGTAGTTTCCCCAACTGACATCCCCGCTGCACAGCATGCCTGGACTCCGAGCGGGGACGGGGGCGGGCGGAGGGGAGGGCGGGGGCGGGACGCGTGTAGCCCGTCCAGCTGCAGCCGGCATTAGTGACGCCCTAACTGCCGGCCGCTATGGCGACATAATGGCCTGGAAATGCCAGGCGCGCAGCAAAATCGCCAGCCGTTACAACTGATGTCACTTTGTACTGCTGTCGACGCGCTCTGGATTTGTTGGAACGCCGCCTGCTGTGATCTGTTTTAACAATCGTCTTTATTTTTGTCTGTTTCAGGAATGCAAGGGAATAAGGAGAATGAATGCAACCCAAACATGGCTGGGGTAAGTACTCCTGCTCGCCATCAAACTCATCACTTTTAATTGAGCACCAATCTCATCATTCCGCCGACCTCTACCGAACCGCAGCATCGTCCGCCACTCGGGTTTCGGCCCGCTCCGATCCAATTCACTCACGCTGACACGCTGACGTTCGATGGGCGCCGCTCGCGCTCTCCGGCCGGCCGGCGCGCCCCCAATAAACAGATCGAACGCCGACCAAGCTCGACGGCGATCGGGTCGGGTCATCGCTGGACTGCCGCCGCTGGTGTCGGGCGATCGGGCGACGGGCTGGGTGTGTGGCTTCAGACGTCGAGTGGTCTGGTGGGGACGTGCCGGCCGTTCTGGCTCGTCTGGGTGATTGGACGTTTGGGAAATGTCAGAGTAATTGATTGGGAAAGGTGAGAGGTGGAGCTATTGGGAGTCAATGTTTGCCACAACTCTAGACAATAGTAAGAATGAAAAATCATTTTTCACCCTGTGTGTCGTAAGTTAAAAACACCTTTTTTATTTTCACCCATTTTTATTTTATACCTATTTTTTTCTGGGCATTTTTATTTCGCAAGCCATGTTCCTTTTCGTTGAAAGGTAACTCGGCTGCCTGTCCCCTGTAATGGTATGAAGGAATTTCTAGGTAAGACCCAGTTTTCTGGCCGACTTCCCAGCGAGACCAGCAGTCTGCCTGTACTGTCCCCAGGGGCCCGGCGATCCCCTCCGATCCCCAGCCACCACCGCCGTGCCGTGTTGGCCGCCCGATCCCGGGCAGCCACAGACCGCGGCTAAAGCAATTACCGTGCGGCGTGCTGCAGTCCCGCGGGACGCCGAAATTCCATCAAAACGGGAGGCACTCGGCAGTCACACAGCGCTGACAAAATTACCGACCGTTCAGAACTAATGGCGCAAAACGCCAGCCCATATGAACCCACTTGAAATGGATGGAACCAATATGAAGACATCAGTCATTCCGAGGCCGTTTGTATTACTGGCTGTGCTGTTATGCCCGGCGCCACTGTTGGGAAATAAGCAGCGAACAAGCCGGCTGGTGTGGCTGAGCGGGTCCGCTGCTGTGGCGGACTCGCTACCCTCCTGGTCAGAGAGGAGACGACCGCGGTGCACAGCTGTGGCAGACGGCGGATCGGTCCCGGCGGGCCTGCCGAGGCGGCCGTATCATTCTCTAACCATTGCACTCAGCACATCGGAAGTTGGTGGTTGGTTGGCTCACTAGACGTATCTTTTTACCCTATAGTCTCATAGCTTGTCTCTGACATGTCATATATTTTACTGCCTCCGCATCATCACCATATTTCCCCGCCGATTCATCATATGAACACCAGCCATGTTTTCATTTAAACCGTCTCGTTCCTTCGAGCCCTCTCCTCGTCTTGCTAACAAACACTTCACGGCTCTCCTGAGTAGCCGACACCGCGGTTTTGGCAGGCTGCCGTTGGTCGCTCATCATTACACGGTGCTCGATAGAGACGGGCTAGGCCTGGGGACGGGATAGCGGCCGAGACGCGTCGCGACGATGACACTTTATTACCACAGGGGAGGAACGCGGACGGGTGACACGTGGTATGATAAAGTCCTTTGTGTTAGAGACGAGTAAGGCAAATTTGAGCCTTATAAGCTACTAACGGGGAGGGTCCACGTCAAAACAGCTAGTGACTATTGAGCTAGTGACTTTTGAGCTAGTACAAAAGAGCTAGTGCTTCAAAACAGCTAGTGACAACACAGCTAGCGCCAAAATAGCTTGTAATACAAAATAGCTAGTGCATTAAACCAGTAAAACGCCTTTTGGGCGAAGAACGAGCGAGCGAGATAGTGAGCCCTGCACGTGCGGAAGGGCGAGAGGGTGCTTCCAACGGGCTTCCGCAAAGCACCCTTCTAACTGGTCGCTAGCGGTGTGCCAAATTTGAACGCAATCGGCCCAGCCGTTCCTGAGATCTGGAAGCGGCATTCTGCACGTGCGCACGTGCAAACGGGGTCCAAAATGACTTTTGCACGGCACCCTACTAACTGGTCCCCAACCGTGTACCAAATTTGAGCGCAATCGGCCCAGCCGTTCTCGAGATCTGGAAACGCCCCCTGCACGTGCGCACGTGCAGTAGCACCCTAACCGCAACACATGGGAATGCATTGCCTGGTGGGTGCCTACCTGTATGCCAAGTTTCAGCGAAATCGCCCCAGTAATTACCAAGTTACTGAAATGGGAACAAATTTGGCACCTCTTATTGTTGTATTTTGCACGTGCACTGGGAGTGACCCACATGCATCGAGAGTATCCTATTTTGGGTAGAAGGGATGCTGCTACCCTATAAAAATTACCGCAAGTCAATCGCCCAAGCGGCTGCTGAGATATGAGCCTCTCAAAATCACTACTTTTGCAAAACAGCTTGAACACCCTTGACTTTTCACGTGGCACGTGCCACGACGGTCACTGAGATGTATCAAAAGTAGTCAATTACGGGGTAGAAGGGATGGGGCTACCCAACAAAAAAGACCGCAGGCCAATCGGTCCAGCGGTTGCTGAGATATAAGCCTCTCAAAAGCGTTACAGGCCGGGCCGGGCCGGGCCGGGCCGGGCCGGGCCGGGCCGGGCCGGGCCGCTCATACTGAGATTTTCCCGTTATATTGAAAAGACTCACTTCGCTCGCTGCGCTCGCTCGCTCGTAATCAGCAGTGACTAAACAGCTAGCGTCAATATACTAGGTGCGTTCAATAAGTAAGTTCCGGAGAGCAATTACATAAAATTCACGCGGTCTACGCACGTGATTTTTTCAGGGATTAGAAATCAGACCTTTATGTCGAAGTGACCGCATTTTCAGCTTCTTATTCCATTTCTGTGACGATATGAAGCAGATCAAATAACACCATTTTTTAGACTGCTTTAGAAATGGCATCGGCCACCCGAGAGGATCAACGTTCAGTGATACGATTCCTTGCTATCCAGGGCTAGCCGGCGGCTAACATCCACGCCAACTTCGTGAATGTGTACGGGAGCCATGCTCTTAGGGATTCCGCAGTTCGGAAGCGGAAGAAAAAGTTTGGGGAGGGGAGGGAGAGCGTGCGCGACCTGGCACGTGCAGGCAGGCTGAGGACGATGGACACAGCCACTGACATCGCCAAAGTGGAGGAGATGGTGATGGCCAACAGAAAGATTACTGTCCAGGCGATAACAGAAAGCCTAAACATAAGCCTACGCCAGGATCATTAGAGACCATCTCCTGCGAGTGATCGCCAGTTGCCGCCCCGGGAAGGCCCGTGGTCGGTTCATCCTCCACCAGGATTGCGCGCCTTCTCACCGTGCCCTCGTGGCGAGGGATGCCCTGCAGGCAGAGGGCATCGAGGTGCTCTAACACCATCCCTACTCTCCAGACGTTGCACGCAGTGACTATTGGCTGTTCGCAGACATGAAGAAAAATCTCCGGGGCCGGAGGTTCGGCTCGCGGTCTGCACTCGGGTCTGCTTTTTACCAGTATGGCGAAAAGACCCTCACTCAAAGCTTCCGTGCGGCCATCCGGGACCTGGCCAAACGATGGGACCGATGCGTTCGCCTGCAGAGCGAGTTCGTCGAGCCGTGAGCCATGTTTGGTTCAGATGTGCCAAAAAATAAAAGAGTTATATCAAAACGGAACTTACTTATTGAACATACTGGTAGCTAGTAGAGCAAAATAGCTAGTGCTTCATTATAGCTAGTCATAAGCGTAGGAACCATGGGTGCAGTGGGTGCAGTTGCACCCACAATAATTATCCAGTGGGTGCAGACAATGTATTCTGCACCCACAATAATCTGGAACAAAAACCCCTTTTCTCATCAACACTACTTCCCATGCAGCACAACAAATTCAGGATAGTTTGCCCACTTTCCACCTTTAGAAGCGTTTGCTACTGTGATGGTCTTCAAAACTTACATTTGCGCTCAAGTAAAAAAGGAAGCAACGGAACACATGTGATTGAACACATACCGATGACCCACTTTCAAAAGTTTTAGCCCGATACCTATCTTCGAAAATGGCTAAGTTAGCCGCATTTAGGTACTTTTTGCGGTAGTCAATATTGACATTATCAACGCTTCTAAATACACTTATCATCGGTAGGTACCTTTTCGACATGGTACACCCTCAAAGCTCACAAGGAGCCTCCGCTCGGGTGCCGCTCCCTACCCCCTCCCCCCCCCCCGGCTTCACCGGCCATGGCTGGATTTCTGCACCCATGCACCCACAATGTTTCCACAATGGAAGGTAGTTTCGTGATAAATTATGACCAGGAACATATTTTTTGGCGATTCTGTTGTAGAAATATAGTTGATTTCGTCCCATTGAATTATTTCAGCGGTATCGTCGATACCGCTTATCGACATTTCATGGTTCTGATGGATGCAGAAAGACGGCCGTTGTTCTCTTTGCACCATTCTGTTCGCTCTTACATTTAAGTTTGGCCATTGGAATTATAGTTTGCGCTGTGATATAAATTGTTAATATAGTCTGTCCTCTCGTCAGTACCACATCGTTTTGACGCCATAATCGAAGCAGCCTATCGAAACGCTCGCAGCTTGCCTGATTCTCCATAGATGGCGCTAGTGTGGTACGCCTGGTATGTATGCTGTACCGCACAGCAGCAGGCGGCCTTTCTGTGTTCGCTGAGGGTGAGGAGATACAACACGCTTTATTGATCGTGTTTTGGAATGAGGGAAAGTGCTCTTTCTTGTTCGTGGTTGGGGAGATGTAATGTATTATTGTTGTCCGTATTCGATAACGAAAGAGATTGGAGTGCTCCTGGTGCGGGACTTTAGTCGGTTAGTTGGTAGACCTGCTGGTACGGGACCGCAAGTGGTGTGTGTCTGTCGCTTGCTGTGCAGTGTGGCTGTGGGCGGTAATTGTGACCCTGCCTGGCTCAAGGGAAGTGCGTAGTACTTCCCCGGCTGGTGAGTGTGACCCGGTCGCGGCTGGGAGAGGTGCGTAGTACTTCCCCGGCCGCCCGGGTGAGTGGTGGCGCCGATCGTCGCGCCCATTACGCTGATTGTGTGGTGGCGCGCGCCGTCGACAGCCGGGGCGCAGGGTGTCGGGTGTCGGTGGCCGGGTGTCGGGTGTCGACGGAGGGGGAGGGGTGATGGGAGAGGGCCAGGATGGCGGGAGGGAGTGGTGGCCGGTGGGTTGGGAGGTGACGGGGCTGTGCTGCTGGTTTTGAGGTGGATGAGTTTGGGGATGGATATTTGTTGGTGGTGTAGGGGAGAGTGGGGTAATTTGGCCGGTGGTGTAAATTGGCCGCCCCCACCTGTACGAAAGCTGATAAAAGTGAATGAAATAACTTAAGTCTCTATTCATTTGTCATCGGCAAAACTAACTCGAGAACAAATGTCAAAACTTTTCCCCTCTTTGTTTTATTCAAAATTAATAAAAGGTGAATTACGTTAGAAAATGGTAACTTTTACTTCCGTTTAAAAATTTGTATAACATGTAGTATTTGGGCTGTAAACGAATTAAAACATTATAGCGCCATTTTTTAGGGTGTTCAGCGGTTCCAAGAGCAATTTCATCTAGTTCTGTACAGCCATGACGACTTTATAGACAAAAAATTTCAGAATGGCAATGTGGGGTTATTTGGCCGGGACAAGCGGGGCAACTTGGCCGGTGCGCTCAGAGTCACTATGCTGGGACGGCCGAGTTGTCATGGTCAATTATACCATAAAGGACATAATTCATAACCAACTTTGACTACCTTGATGCCATATTTCCTATTGGACAGCTGTAAGGGCATGTGACGTCATCAAAGGTTAACTAACGTTTTTTTGCTAATAAATACTTACAGAAAAAGATACAGCCGCGCAAATGGTCTCATTGTGTTCAGCTCGTTAAGGCGCATCGAATGATATACATGATGACCTTGAACTCACGTAACCTTGAGGTCAAGCGACCTGAGGTAACGTGACCTGAAGCCAACCTTGACCTTGACCTTGACCTCTCGAGGTCAACACACACATGTTTCGATGCGGAATGACGAGAGAATTACGATGGTGTTTTTAGTTTTTGCCTAACTTGATTACTTCAAAAGTTATTCGTAAAAAAACTGTCATCGCATCTAGAGCCGCTATTTTGACTATTTTTGACCCCTGTGACGGCTGAGTCAACCTCCAAAATGCTTCAAATGCGTCGTAGGACACGCGTCATTGCTGAATGTGAAGCTGACTCGCCTATAACAAAAATCACGGCCTCAAACTAACACCGGCCAAATTGCCCCACACCCCCGGCCAAATAACCCTGCTAGTGGGGCAATTTGGCCGCTTTGCAGACCTTTGTAATGCGCCACAATTTCAATATAAGTAGTTACACAATCATTTCAAGTTTACTCTCCAAGAAAGTAAAATGTACGCCACACCTGTCAGCGTTGAGAAAATGCAGAAATGTGTTGTCGATTTTTAGTTACAGCGTTTTCTAAAAAAAAACGGCCAAATTACCCCACTCTCCCCTACCGTCATGCTTTATTGAAGCGTTTGGATGATCACTGATCTGTGATAAGCATGGACCTCGTCTTCTCCAGTATATTTTTGGTGAAAAGTTATCGGTTTCAGAAGCGTTAACGTATGGTGCAGCATGACTGTCCCATAGAATTTGCGCTATTGACCTTGTCTGATCGTACCTTTCCTAATCTGACTTCACCTGACCTGATGTGACCTGTTCTCTTCAGCAGGGAGACGGAATTCTGAAGCGGCCGTCGGACGCTCTCGATGACAGTGGTGAGTGTTAGTTGCTTTCAATTGCTGTCATGCTTTCAATTACGTCATCCAGACTTAATGCGTACATATGATTCGTTTTGTCAATGGAAACGCAATTATAAAAGGAAGTCTTAGCATCATGTTAAAGGTCATCACATCCCATGCCGTGTGTTCATTCAGTGCAGTGTGATAACCTACCTGTCGTGTTTTGTCATTTGTCCCACGTCTGCCGCCCCAATTATCGTCCGTCTGACTGTGTTTGGGCACAGGGTGTCTGATGGACGACTTAGCGACCATTTGTCTGTCACCGTCCACCCCGTTCGGCAGAAATATCGCGCCGCTGGCTATTAGGTGTCGGGATTAATGGCTTACGCCGGTGGTATCGTACCAGCAGAGTGCGGTATGACACCGTCGTGCCCCCCGGACATGCCGATTATATGGCCCCGTTGGAAATGGATGGTGCACTGCGTCTTATTATTTGATTGTAGCCAGTTTTTAGTACGGCGGTTTCTGTGAGACTGGTGGTCGGAAATGTCACCTAGGGAGCCATTTGTCGATGACAAGTGGCGATACAATGTCATCAAGCACCAATCGTTCAATCGTTGTTAGAAATATGTGGAATGACCAGCGACGCCAGGTTGTTTTATGAACTGGAAGTCTACAATGGCAACGTCCATACACAAGTCTGGCATTGTAGCACCATCTAACCACTTTGAGTGGTTTTCTGACGCGATTCATCATTCGTATTGAATTGCTTTCCATGCTCACGGATATGATCGGTGCATTCAAGTCAGCGCTCATCAGTCTCGTGTTCCAATGATTTGTTTCACGCTCTGGAGAGGATCCTTCCGAATTGATTGTTTTACTTCATGAAACGTTGTCGCGCACGACCGCCGTTTTGTCCAACGGAGCGTTCTTCTCTGACGGCTCCGAAGATCTATCGGTCGGCCCCAGGACTAACGTATATACGATCGTTGCGCCTTTAAACGCTCATCAATTACAGTTGGGCTTAGACATCTAGTGCCCGATTTAGGACTCACCTGCCGTGAAATGTGAGGGTGGCACTCGCAATAGCACCGCCGTTAGCTCCGGGTCTTGACCGGATCTTGGCTCTATGTGTAGTGACAGTAGAGCGGTGATTTTTTGGGCGCGGTCGGGTGCGCTCGTCGCGGCTGGGGGCACAGGGAGGTGATGTGTCTCGCACAGGGATACTGATGGTGACAACCTAAATTAGGTAAATGTACGGAATAAAAGGAACTCTTGTCATTGATGAACGACTAGCGGATGCCAAGCACTTCTGTTGAGGATCTCTTGATGTGGTTGTATTTTTTCTATGCTTCGACGCTTAAAGCACACATTCATTTTTCATATGGATGCAACTTATCTGGTGTTTCCTAACTAACTACTTTTACTTGTTTTCCCTTACTATTATTATTCATGGTCAGGTATCAGTACTCGAACAAACTTTTTTAGCGCCATCGAGGCCGGGTCGCGAATGCCACCATTCGCTGTGGGTGGGCGGCCACTCGGCCCGTCCACCCCGCCGCGCCGGCTGGCGATGGACCGCCCGAACTCAGGCCACCGCTGTAAATCACCGCTGCCGAGCGCCATCAGTGACGAATTCATGGCGTCGACGCAGCGCCGGCCGTCACCCGCCGACAGTATCAAACTAGGTCAACGCGAGCTCATTTGCCGGACGTGTGAGATGGGCCAGCTCCATTTCCGCCATCTGGTATCAGTCGAATTCGAGCGATTCGCTGTTCAGTCACCCATTACCGAACTCAGTCGGTCAGTTTCACGAGGACGTTTTGCGTTGTTGGGGTATTATCTGTTCAGTGCCACATCACTCTTATCGGGCTAACGCACCTCGTACAGTTTAAAACGAAACTGCCGCCAGCATTTTAGTTTCCACACTCGCCCTGTGCCGAGTTACAAGGCACAGCACTACACGGAGCCGCAGTCGGTAACGATTAGAAACTGCCGACCCGCCCCGTTTGGTTACCAGACGAGCCACAAGGATCGTGTGTGGAGACTGGAAAGCTCGCCTGGGGGATTTCCTTTGTACTGTGCTGAGGAGTGTGCCGACGATAAAAAAAATTGTATCTCGACCGTCATGGTATTAACCTGTCAATAGCAGGTGTCTTCTATCACTACCTGATATGCGCTTTTCTGACTGGCGCGACTCAGGGTAGGAAAGGTCGTCTATTGTGCGCGTATGGTGAATGGCAGCATTGAATGCGTGCTGCGCATGCTAATGACGTCCCAACACCAGCCGGTGGGTGGGCAGTAGTCTGCGATAGCACTATAACGCCGGTGATAGCAATATCGCTATCTGAGACCTGGGTGACTACGGACACGACCGTGCGACATTGTCACCGAGTATATCGCCGACTGGGCGAGCCGGTACCGTCGCGCCATCCATCCTGGTGCCGCCGCCCTCACACCGCGGGGGTCTCACGAGACCCTGCGCTCCCCACGGCCCGGAGGCACCGTACCGGCGCGTCGGCGGGCAGGCGTGAGCCTATCTGGGTCATATTGATGTCACCGCCGCCACCGGGCGCCACAAGGTGACGCTGATACATGACAGAACGCGGGGGAGGGGAAGGGGCTGTGAGGGATTGGATTGGATCGGACGCCTGATTGGAAAGTTGATCGGTAGGGATAGAGCGGCCGGTGGAGAGTGGAACTAGTGGGGGTGGGGGTCGTTCGGCGGGGAGGGAAGGGGACTTACTACGAGGAGCTGTCCGTCTGACGCGATTTGCTAAATCCTCACATCGTTTGTTATCCTTCTGGCATTCAGGCGCCACTGTAGACTGTGTTGAGCCATCACGGCGCCGGCCCTAGTCCTGAGATAGACGCGAGATGGGCCTCAGAGCCAGTTATGCATATAATATCGCCGTCATTCTGTTTATGTTTGCGATAAGTCTCACCGTTCTTTGTATGCATGTGAAGCTTACGGTGGATTATAGTTGATATAAAGCAAGACATGCATATGCATATGCTGGAAAGCCCCTTATCAAGGACTTCAGTCAAACGTGCGGTAGTGTTTTTCAATGTGCGCATCGGATCATTAACCAATCATTACCGATCGTCCTGAGATTTATCCGTCAGTCTGGATTCGATTCAGCCTGGCGTAATGCGGTAGAGGTATCACGATTTCATGGCCTGTAACTACTGAACTTGGAGGTCCGTCTGTGACCCTGGACGATGGGGGCGGTCACACTCGTCACTTCAGTTCTGAGCTTCACTGGAGAGCGTTGTCGTCTCCCTAGCTCTTCCTCCGTTCCCTGCATCGGGCCGGCTTTATGGACGGACGGCGATTGATTGTGCTCGTTACTGTGCAACAGCCGGTCACAAATCATCGTATTATGCTGTCATCCGTCTGCCTCACGGCGCTATACGGCGCCACAAATAGCCAACCTGAGCGGACCTCGGCTACCGACCGCTCTCGTGATGGCAGCCCCTCGTGCCTGCGGTCAATCTATTGAGGTGTCATGTTGTGGTCGGCAGTTTTACGATATCACACAACCAGTGGCGTACCCAGGAATTTGCGAAGGACCAGGGCATTGGACGAGAGGGCGCCAATCAAGGAGGGCGCCAACAACAAGGAGGGCGCCAACAACAAGGAGGGCGCCACATATCTGAAACTTGAATGTGTCAGTTATGTTCGTACACGTGCGGAACGAACATAACTGACATACTGGACAGAGGGGCGTCACCCACCATCATCTAGGAGCGCGACGCTATCGATTGGGGGGGGCGCCAATACTGGACAAAGGGGCGCCACCGGCCCACCATATCGTCTAGGAGGGCGCCACTATCACCAGAGGAGCGCCAATACTGGACAGAGGGGCTTCGCCATCAACTAGAAGCGCGCCGCTATCGACTGGAGGAGCGCCAACACTGGACAGAGGGGCGCCAGTCACTGAGGGCGCCGGGGACGATGAGCCAAAGGGACAGGGCATGCACGGAATGTCTTGTATGTGCGTACGCCACTGCACACAACGGCGTCATGCTAAGCGATAGTTCTTTTAAGTTTTGTTTAGGCTTAATAATGTTGATTGGTCTAACAGCGATTGAGTAAGCATACATATGTACTGCATAGACAACTACGAGCCCTGGCTCCATCCCTTTGCAACAATTCGGCCGTCCCAAGCCCAGATATGCACTAGCGGCGAGCTCGCACCAATATAAAGTAACTTAAAATAGTTAAATTGCTATTTTGAGAAATTGTTCTCAGGATCGGTGCCGTAAATCATAAGCGTCGCGAGCGTGATTTGGTATTCATTCCCTGCGTGGTGCATAAGCATACGGCGGCACGCATCTAACGCATTTATCTTGTGGGTGTGGGTGTTTTTTTTTCTGACAGTGACAGAGTTTTCACAAGTTTCAGCTAGTTTGACAAAGTTTATTATTAGCTCAACATAGAGATTCTTGGCATATATATTGCTTAGGAATGCGAACACAGATAATTTACATTGCACCTCAACTCATGCAAACACTGCGTGACGCTTCTGACAGCGCACAGCACTTACACGCGTCGTTTGTTTTTCTCAGCACAATAATCTTATCCCGATGGGAAATGGTCTGACCTGAACGGTGCCTCCTGGCGAGTGCCTTTCTGTGTCAGCAGCACGCCCCCCCCCCCCCCCCATTCCCTGGAAGGTTGTATAGGTGGGTAAAGAGAGGGGCGCACACTGCGGAGCCCAGAGCTGCGTTCGGGTGATCAGCTCTGCTCTACTCTAAACGTACATTACTTTTCGTTCGCTGCCGTCGCGCCATTCTTTATTGGAGGACAGATTTGGAGACCCATCTCACGGGACGGCTGTTTTAATGAGAGTCGCTGATGGTCACAAAATAATGGAATTAAATAGACTGAAATAGCTGCGGGGACTGTGATATTCGGCTGGGCGCAGCGTTTTCCATTTTAGGAAAGTCTGTTGTGCTGCTGCGTAGCTCAACTCCTTTCTCCTTGCCATGTTGAGTGATTTGAAAATAACTATGCTTGAAAGTGAAGATGAATCATAAGCTCTTGCCCGGCAATGTGAATTTGTACATTGATAATTCACAGTGTGGTGTGTCTCATTGCCATTAAATCCCTCGCTCGGAAGTTACCCTGAGTCTCCTTCGACCCAGCGCCCCATGATAAGCCAGGCTGTGTTCAGCCGTCACTTGCGCCACATCATAGACCCTTCACGAAAATGTCGACATGGTCCATGTGGGCTTATATAGACCATCCAGCGACTTTAAATTCGGCACAGGCTCGCGCTGCGAGCTATCCTGAGCTGCTGTTCTGTGTCCACTGTGCCGGTGGGTTCGGATAAAACGGCCGGCCCTCAACGAGCCGGGAGCGGATGAAGCAATATTGTCACTCTGTTCAAATAGATTGTGCCCGGAATTTCCAATTGAGCTGAAACAGTAGCCTTGCGAGTGATAGGCGACACTGAACGCTGCACAGTAGGGTTGTTAAAAAAAAAACCGAATTTTGGAAAAGTATACGGGCTCATGGCTCATGTGGTGCGGTATTCTTTTCTGAGTCCAATGACGCCCATTTTTCTGAAAAGTATTAACTGCTAGGGGCTCCTCAAACGGCTTAAAGAGGACCATGTTACGC